CTGGTGGGAGAAGCCCAGCGTGCAGGTGGCCGGTCCCACCACATGCTCACTCACTATGGGCAACTCTTGATTCCCAGCGGAGGCAGAGTGGCTTAGCGCACGCTGCAAGAGAGCACCGGTACCAGCAGCAGGCAGGGCTGCTCACAGGACTGGGTAAAAAACAAGATAAAGAAGGTAGGTTTGGAAGTTATAGACCTGAAACAGATAGAGAAGGCAGGCATAGCTGGAGCCCAGCGCAAGCTGGAGAAAGGCTCTGCTGCTCCAGATACACTCCCAACCTTCATTAATTGTGGAGGACTCAGGTGGGGGTAGGTTGGAGAGTGGTCACGCTGAGGGAACTCTTCCCCACTAATCCCTTGAACCCTAGCGGGGCTCCGCTCCTTCACTGCTGGGTCTTCATCTGCCCAGGAGCGAGAGATCTCCTGCCTGGGAGAGGGGACTGGGCCAAGAAGTAGGGAACCAGTGACTTCACCACCTCCATGTTTTCAGATGGGATGGAGAACAGGACCACAAGGTCTTCTCTCTCCCTGTCATTTTTTTCTCCCCATCTCATCTCTCCTTCCATATAAATCACAACCTCCATCTTTCTCCTGTTAGTAAGGAGATATCTGATTTGCCTCAAACATCTCATTCCCAAAAGACATTAGGAGATTGCTAACAATAATGTTGTCCATGATGGGATGTTGCTACAAGCACCCAAAGGCTGCGAGAGAACAACAAACCAGAGCACTGGAGCTGGGTCTCTCCAGCATCCAGCTCATGACTGCAACCCATCACAAAGCAGAAACCACACTCCCTGCCCGTGCGGGTCTCACATCTGCTTGTGTACCCGGTTGTCTCACAGCATCTTCATCCAATCCCTCCAAATCCACAGCTAATGATAAGCAGCACTGGCTCCACTCGGTTGTTTTCCTCCTGCTTCATTCCCGCTGCCCATCAGGCCTCAAACAGGCAAGAGTCCCCTCACTAAAGCTCTCTCCTGCCACGCAGGGCAGATCAAATGTCAAAGACATCGCCAGCACCACACAAAAAGCTCTCCAGGAACTATGTAGGAGCAGGTCTTGTGCCTCAGAGCCCCATGCCCTGAATCACCATGCAAGAGGCTCTCCCAGAAGAGCCAGCATCCAGGGGAGGATGAGCTCATGGTCCCACCAAGGCTCACCACCAGACAGGACAAGGCTCCAGACACCTCGGCAGGTCCTGCTTCTGCCTCATGCTACCCGCTGTCAGGACCACCCTAAACAACATGGTACAAGGAAGGATGGGACACAGAGAGGAGGAGGAGGAGGAAGGCAAGGCAACCTGCAAGGTTAGGAGAGGACATGACTTTGGAGACTGTAAACTCTTTGGACGAGAGCAGGGCACACCTACCAGGGTGCAAAAGTCAGCCAAGGCCACCAGAAATGGGCAAAGCAAAAGTTCTTCCACCTCAAAAAAAATATATCAGGGACTTTGAGGAGGAAGGGTCACCCACCCACAGCCACTGAATTGGGAACTGCTGAAGACTTCCAGGAATTTGGATTTCAAACACTGTTGGAGCACTTTAGGACAGTCCCCCTCAGTCCTTACCCGCAGGACCTGCCCAGCCAGGAGATTCTCATTGGCATCCAACTGCTCATAATTCGCCAAGAGGTTCACAATCCAAGGCTGCAAGACGTAGACTTTAGGAGAAGACATGTTTTTGTTCTCATACACAAACCTACGGGACAAGAGACAAGGCACAAAATCAGAAGAGCGAGACACAGCAAAGCTCCGGCATCCCAGGAACGGTTTTGCACCCCAAACACAGCCACAACCCCAGCGGCTGCCTCAAACCCAGCCCAAATCCACTTGCTTCTCCGCAAGGACATCCATCCAAAGGGAGCCGTGCCAAGGAAGCTGAGCTGCTGGGGGCACGCAGGTCCTGCCGCATCCCGCTCGTCCGGCGGAGCGGGGGCATATCCGGGCTCTGGTGCTGCATGCAGGCCGGGTCAGGCCTTTTGCAAGTCTCCCACCCAGTTCAGGACACTTTTTCCCCCCTTCTTCCTCTATTATTATCCCCCAATAATTATTTTCTTGTGCCCAACACTTAACCATCACTCTCTTAAGTGCAAAAGGGGGAAGGGGGTCTCTCTTTGCTGGATAAGGGCTGTGCAGCAGGGCTTGGGGCAGGCAGGGGTTTGGGGACAGGAGCGGGGTGGGGACAGGCAGGGACTGGGGACATGCGGGGATCTGGGGACAAGCGCAGGGTGGGGATAGGCGG